GTAGGGATACAAAATTAATTTGTCACAGAATTACAAGCCTAGTACTTAATCTTTTTCTTCTTATTTAAGTTCATTAATTTTCAGATTCTAGTTATGTATTTTTAAGACACTACTGTGATTGAACATACTTCCAAAGAGTTAGTGACCCGGTTTAGAGAATTAAGTACCTAAAGTAAACTTTTGAGAAGTTTAAAGTTGAAATGTAAAAGCTAAATATTTAAATGTGTTCTTTTTTGTATGGAGGAACAAAGAAATTCAGTTAGAGTATACAGTTATTCTACCAGATGATAATTCTAAAAACTGTAGCAAAATCTGCAACTATGGTTCGTGTTCTGGTGACTCCCAAGTGTAGCACTGGGGCTTCACACAGGGAGAGACCTCTGTGGTAGTGGACCCTATGAGAGAATTAGAAATACTTTGTAATCATATTCTTAGACATTATCTGTGAACCCAGGAGTTACCCATCCTGCTGCTTGAAAAGTCATGGTTTTTAACTTAACTGAAAAATGCACTAAGTGTTATATTTAAAAATCGTTGCACTTAAAAGGAGTGTTTATTAAAGCTACTACAGGGTATGTTGGAATTGAAACTCGTTCAAGATTTATGATTGTGTATTTAGGGTTGATTTCTGCCAGGAACAGATGGCACTGGAAGCAGACAGCTGACAAGTCATACAGCACAAAACACCTACTAAATGATATTTTGTAAGTGCAGTCATGAAATAATGAGAGTATTTTGAAGTGTTATTGCAGAATTTAGTTTTGAAGAGCAGGTAGGCTAAAGAGGAGTTTTTATGAAGGGGTTTTCCAAAAAGTATTTTAATTGAAAGATTTTGGATCGATAGATGTTGAACTATTTGAAGGGGAAAATGAATTTTGCTCTTGGGGAAGCCATGGACTGGTCACTGCAATCTTGCTGGATATGTGTGGGATAAGAAATCAGCCTTTAAAGCATCTAGCTGCTTAAAAATCTCTCTGTACTTTTAAGTAGTTACTCTAAGTCAATTGCTGAGATAGCAAACCAGGAATAAAAAAACAAACAAACAAACAAAAAAACCCCAAAACAAATCAGGAATAAATTGTTGTGTCTCAGAGGACACTTACTTCTTTGAAAAGAGGTAGGTTTGAAACCTGTGTGTTTAAATTAGCACAGGTTTGTCCACTGTACAAGTTTTGATCCATAAAATAACCAGTGAAGCAATTAAAGCTTCCAGTTTAGGTAAAATGAAACAAAGGTGGCCTTACTGTGGTTCTAGGTTAGGAGAGTTTATTAAGTACCACTATCCATGTCACCTTATTCCAGGTTTGGGTTTAATGGGGTCATAAGGCCCCATTCTTCTTCTATGAATTTCTCAAGTTGTAATCCTTATACAAACTCCTGCGTAGAGGAAATGTTTGGAAAACTTAATAAATGAGCGTACTGCAAATGGAAGGATTATATATTTTTCATGTAATGCAATCCAAAGGCAAATATAAATCTGATGTTGGGCTTTTTGTGACACAGAACTATCATTCTGAAAATTGATTCCTTAAGGACTGAGCCCTTTTATTACTTTTTGGTTTGTTGACAGCATTGAGCAATATCTGGAATTAAACTTAGGAGTTTCTTATTGGGAATATGAAGTTCTTTGTTGTTTCTACTGGAAACAACAAGTTTGAAAAAGCTGAAAGTTCTCTTTCAACTATGTAAAACCTGCCTAATGCAACTTGATCTGTTTCCTTACTTACCATTACAGCTGATTTAGGGTTGTAATAGTCCTATTTGCCTTGCAGATTTTTGAATTGGAAAATGAAGATGGCACAACACTTGCTTTTCTGAGTTGTCAAATACTGCCACAACACTGTGATATTTGGGATTAAATAGTACCAAGAGTGTTAGATTTTACATTTTGTGTAACAGTGACTTTTATGTACAAAACCCCTTCTCTATTGAAATTTTTCTTTTAATGTCATTTAAATTTATGAAACTAAGGGAAGAATACTAGGGTCAGAATTTATATTAGTATGATATCTCAGTGCTTTATATTAGTATGATGTGTCAGTGCTGCAAGATGTCTGCTTCTAAGGTTTGTTGTTGAAGCTGAAAGCTTTCTCAGTGTTATTTAGTGTAATCCTTCATATGCATTAGTTTGTATTTGTCGATGAAAATTGGTCATCAAATGATTACTGTTTCTTAATAAAAAGTAATTTGTCTATATAGTACTTTAGTAGCATTTAAAATACATAATTCTCTTTCAGTTTAGTCAGATTTCATTTATTAAAATTCACTAACAAAGTGTAAGACTTCAGATGGAACAAAATGAGAATGAGAGGTTGCTGAATGCAGCATTTCTGGTTTTGTAACAAGTTCTGAAAACCAGGTTTTTAAATACTAAACCTAAAACTTTCACACAGAGAAGTTAAATTAAAAAAAAATTGTTTAGAAGCATCCAAAAAATGTGAGCTGTGAAACTAGAGGGAAAAGAAAGGTCAGGGCTTCTGTCAAAGCACCCTCAGCATGTGGAATATTTGTGGTCGTTAGATACCCTGGGGCTTGAGATTGTTGAAATACCAAACTCTGGAGGTGACCCAGAAGATGACAAGCCCTGAGCATCCCAGCACTGCAGAGAGTAGGGGCATCTCCACCAACTTCCTGCATACGTAAGCTTCCAGTTTGTACTCCCTGCTGCAGAACTGGGAGTTGGGCTTTGAGTCTTTTCAAGTTGTCATCTTAAGAGCAGCAGAACTGAAATATTTGCATGACTAGAAACTCACAGCTTGGAAACAGAAGTGTTGGAGTGGAAATGTTGCTTGTGTTTAAGCTGCTTTCTTGTTTGCATCTTGGTGATTTCAGGATGCTCAATGGTTTTTGTTAATAGAGGTTGGATTTTTTGGAGAAGCGTGTCTGAAATTTATCTGAAATTTGGACCCTGAATGTTTCAGGAAAATATATTTCAGGCTTAGTGATTAATGTATTTCTAGACAAACAACTCCCTTCTGTCCAGTGTTTTATCGGAAGATTTCCAATTCATTCTATCTCATTAGTTACTTGTATTACTTCTGTCACTGAGATGTTGAAAACTGAAAAAACCCAAAACAAAGAAAGCAACAACACAAGTGTGATGAAAATTTTAATCATAATGTTTTGCCCTTTAGAGGGAGAGTGTAGTTTTTGTTCATGTTCTTGTGTAAATGCTGTGTCTACAGAAGAATGTACTCATGGCTCATCTTTCTCTAATGCTGTGATGAAATTGCAGACAGTATACTGTCATACTCATTTTTCTGTGTTCCTTAATCTGTAGTTTACAGGATGTTTAACATTATCTAAAAGGTTTCAATATTAGCTGCCTATAGTATCTCTGCTTCTGCATACTGGAGGAATGAAAATTGATTTTAATTACTGACTCGTCTTGGAGCTGAGAAAGCAAGTTTAGTATATGTATTGGTTTTCTTTTTTCCCTTGTGCTTCCAGGGTTTTTTTCTTTTTCTTTTTTTTTGCATAGATAGCAAGTCCTTGGTGCCAGGAGGCTACCTCTTTTTGTCCTACATGTGTAATCTGCAGTTGAGACATACTGGCAAAAAATTGGTGAGGCATTATGTGGTGCTAGTGGTAAGCGGGTAGTATTGATTCCTTAGGGTGCATCAGTGTCAGGTTTGCACTGCTCAGTTTGGAATGACTTGTGTGTAATTCAAAAAATTCTGTTAGGAAACATGGATAAGATGGTGAACTGTGTAGCTTTGACTTTTTCTGAGCAGGGACTAACAGGAGCACTAGGTTGTTTTGGGGCATGGGGTTGTGTGTGTGATGATGTTTTCTTGGAGGGGGGTGGGTTGAATGTTCTAAGTTTTGAAGTTGTCTTTCGTGTTTTAGAAGAACTTCTTGGGTCTCTCCTGCCATGTACTTTAATTTTATTCTTGTGTGATGCTAACTGTCAAGTAAGGATTCACTGAATAAAGTTATTTTAGTAAGGGAGAGGAATGCTTTTCAAAATAAAATGTCAATAAAAAATGTGTATTAATTTTGTGATGGTCTGGACACAGTAGTTGAATTAATATCAGTGTCGTGTGACTTAAAGTTTCTTGCTGCATATAATCTTGATCCCTTGCCCCTTGAAACTCTACAGAAAAGATCTAGACATCTAAGTAGAGCTTAGGCTAGAACCCAAATGCTGACTGATTATCTGTCTCTTTTCTGATTTCTCAGCAGCCTTCCCTCAGAGAGCAAACTGGTTGGTTCTTGTTCATTTTTATCACTCACTGTGATGTGATCTTATTTTTCTGATTAAGCTATAAACTGATGCAGGGGAAATGGCACTGATCCTGAAAGAGTTGAGGAATATTTTGTACTAATCTTTCAAAAGAGAATCTTCATCAGTATTTATTGTGTATGCCTGAGTAAGATCCTTGTACCTTCCAAAGGATGTTAGATCAGCCTGAACTAATTAAAAGTGCTGGGTGTTACTTGCATCCTCCAGGGTGTTTTTTGCAAAATAAATTGCATCTCTACCTTTTCTTTGCTTGTTTACAGTAAACAAAACAGTTGAAATCAGGTTTCAATATTTTTGCCCCTATGCACTCCAGCCTTTTTTCTATTTTCTATTAAAATAATAACTTTCGAAACTATCTTTAAACTTTGCAAAGAAAATGTTTCTCACTAATTGTTGCATATGACATGACACACCATTTTACCAGTGTAGGAGAGACTCAAGTTCCTGTCTCTGGAGACAAGTGAATGGTGATTTATAACTGATGGGTTAATCTGAAGATGTGATGAGCATCTGCCAATCTGTGTGTATCAGAAAAACAGCAGTTGACTATGAAGGTGTTAAGAGCTCCCCTGGGAGAAGCATGCTTGTCTTAGTAAATGTGACTAGTCTCTTTAGAGTAATTATGTTTTTTAAAATATGAAATGTACAATATTTGGAAGATGCACTTTTATGCAGTGTTTTTTCATAACATACAAAATGCTGAAACATATTTTTTTATTTTAAATAAAACCTTTTTTCCCCCCTCTTACCACAGGATAATGAGAAAAGGACCCCTTTACATGCTGCTGCCTATCTGGGAGATGCAGAAATTATTGAACTACTTATTTTATCTGGTATGTTCTGTTCCTGTTAATGGAAAAAAAAATAACTCTATGCACATCCAAAGGAGTATTTATGTACATCTTAGTCTGTGTAGCTTTTATTGAGATATTTAATGTACTAGAAATTAAAGATGTATGTACTGAAATTTTGGATTCCAGACTTATGAGTGTTTATAATACTGTGTAGTTCTGCTTTAAAATATTTCTTTGTAGAAAGCTTTCTCAGTTATAGCTATTTTTATTTGTAGCTTGATCAGCTTTCAATAGTTTAACTCTAGTTTAAAGAATTTATAGTGTATATGTTATAGGTAGGTGTTAGCATCATTGCTTTTGGTTCTGAAATGGCCTTCACGAAGACAATTAAATTTGAACATAGAAGATGGCATCTAGAGTTGGTTGTATCATTTTAAGTATCTTTGCCTTTTGGCTTAAATGCACAGAATATAATTAGAATCAGCTGCAAATGTTAAAATCTCATCTTTTTTTTTCCTATTTACTTGTACTAAGACAAACTGCAAGTCCTGTAAAACAGTATACAACTAAACTAAAAACCTGAAGCGGAACTTCGTGACTGAAGTACTGAATTGATTCTTTGATCTTGGACAAACCTACCTGTTAGGTAGCTTGAGGCAGAATTCTTGATATGGAGCTTCAAGCTTACATAGAAAGATTAAAACTTGTAGCAGTCCCATAGAACTACTTTAATCTTCAGTCTGCCTAATTGTGTGCCTTACCTGTGCAAAGCTGGCTATTTCCACACACCCCCTATCAACCTTTAATAAAAAATTTGGGTTTAAGGAAGTGTCACTTAAAATTGCAGGAGTTCTCTTCCAGACTTTCAGTTGAAATTGCCAGGCATAATTTAATTTGTTATAATTTAGGCAAGTTTTAATATTTTTGTTATATATATTACTTGTACTGTCTTAATATAATTATCTATACAGATAATTAATTAATATCACATTATTTGTATTTATATATCTATGTTATGGAAATACTTTATAGTAACAATTTGTCCAGAAAAGATCACTTTTGAAAAGGTGAAGGGTTTTAAAATCTGAAAAGGTGCTGGTTTTCCCTATCAAGAAGAAAAATAAGTTCTGGTGACCATTGAAAACATACAGTGACCCCTTTCAACAACTAACAATGTTAAAAATTTTGTAAAGTTGCAGTCAGCTACTTCTGAGGGTGAATTTTCTTTCTAGTTTGGGTGAACAGAGTCCATTTACCAGAACTGTGATTGAAGAAACTAGACCTCTCTCAGGCAAAGAGCTTATGGAAAGGAGCGAGATTCTAGTTCAGATGGGAATGAAATAAGATCCTGATCGGGGGATGAAAGGTTAGTCATGCTATTTGGGCACATAGCCTGGGGTTAAGTGTAAGGAGAAATGGAGAACAAAGAAGGGAAGTGAAGCACTAAGAATTAGGGCTGTACGAATAGTCCGAAGTTGAGCACTTGTGTGGAGCCAAGCTTGTGGGGTGCTGCAGTGTCTGCAGATTGGTCAGGAAGAGTGGAAGGCATTGATACATCTCAGATAGCACTTATTTAATGAAAATCAAGATTTGCTTACAGCAAAACAATGCATTAGAAAGTTGCAAATCGAAAGCTTCGAAAGCTGTGGATTGTATAGGCAGTGTCAGTCTAACCTTGCTGCGCTCATGCGCTGTGCTATGGACTTCAGTAACACGTTGTGCCCTGCTGTAGGGGCACAGCCTCCTGAAAGGCACAGGGAGAGACTGCGCTGGGAGTGAGCCAGGGTGGTATGGTGAGGGATGCGCAGGTAGGTATGAGTTGTTGAGACATTTGCAAGTGAATGAAGAGGGGCATTAATTGCAGGATGAAAGTGGTGTCGGTGTTCAGGCTGTTCAGTTTCAAAGGCTGTGTTATACTCGAGTATGAATCTATGTATTACCTGCTTGCAAGCAGTGGTTTTAGGCAAGCCTCTTAAACTAGGCTCTAAAAAGTAGTCACTAATTTAGTCTTCTTCATTTCTGAATGCTGGATTTGAAATCTTTGTGGTTGGTGAAGTGTGAGCACTCAGCTGTATCAGAAGTGCTAACTAACTTCTTCTCTGAGAAATCAGGTCTAGGTGTCTCAAAATTCACAAGCTAGGATTTGTCTTTTAACTCTCTTAATTGGAAGACAGGGAACAGAGTTTAAGTGTATTTATCCTCTCCATTTCATAAAGATAGGGAAAATTCATCTGTTGTGTTTCAGCTGGAAATCAAATCTCTCCTTTGAGACAGATGTGTAATGTTACATTTTGTCATAATAGATCAGCATTACAGAGCAAATAAAGAACATGTGTTACCACAGCAAGGTTTGAAGAACACTTGCTGTGTTGCAAGATCTCTTTTTGAACAATGAGGAAAGTAGTTTGTTGAAAACAGAGCATTTCTGAACAACCATCTCCTCTGTACAGTAAATTTGCATGTAAAAATTGTCTGTGACTTTAATTGACCCATTGCAACATATGTGCACCGGGGATTGAATTAAGTGTAGGCTACTTTCATCTTAGCATTTCTCACCTTGTGAGAGCTTGTCTTTACAACTTGTAATGTCCTCTAACATAGCTTTGCTGGAATGTTGCTAGGAACCACTTTACAGTTTTCCTGCTGTGCATGCAAGCTATCCTACAAAGACCGTTTGCTTTGTTTTTATTCTTTCTTCAAACTGAACCTCAAAATTACTGAAGTCAGTATTAATCTTTCCACTACTCTGTGGCTCTTACCTGATTCTTTCTCATTGTTCTCTATTCTTAAAGTGTTACCATCTTACCTACATATAGTTTTTTTAATTTGATTGGAATGTCTTTTGCATCCTGCTCCAGGGAATTCACGTTGCTTTCGAGTGTGTATTTTGGATCACATGTTACTGTCACAATGTGTTTATATTACTTTGCTACAGACGTAAGCAACCCATATTGCACATACTGAAGATATAACTGATGAAGCCTTTTTGCAGACTTTTGTGGAGTAAGGTTTCAGTCTTAGGAGCCTTCTTAGTCTTTGAATTCTTGAGATATTTTCCTACCAAACCTTAAGGTTTCTGACCTCTCCTGTTGTAGTCTTTCACCTGGGCAAGGGATCTGAAGGTGATGATTTGGCTACAGGCTCCAAACATCAAAGAGATTGCTTCAGTGACTCCAGTTTGGGGCTGGACATTTAGATTGCTTTTTGCTTTTTATTTTAGGATAGTGTTTCACTGAACGCTAATAACTTGTTCCCTGAGGATGTGAATGTCTTACCAACAGATTGTCATACCACTGTGGTCTGTGGAAGTCTAAATGTTCAAATCATCTTTCACTGTTAGATTGCAGCTTGATAAGCAATTAACATTCCTAAGTTTGTTAGGTAGGGAGGTGACCAGTAAATAAAGAAGAGGCATGAAAATCGTTGTTTAAAGCACCCAGAAGGATGGAACAGAAGTTTGTATTTTAGTCACTTGAGAATTATAATTTGAGAAGCATTTTCTTTTTTTGTATTACTCTGGGAAGAGTTGTAATACTCATCACAGTTGTATTTTTATGACCTATGTCCAGCTCTGCATCCTGGCACACAAGTACATCTGTCTGCTTTGCATAATTGTGCTTACTTTAATTGTTTAAATGATGGCAAACTACTGACAATTAGAAAAATTTAATAATTAAGTTTTAATGAACTGAATGTCCAACTTTTTGTTCTTTCCAAGAAGTGGGGACTAAAAAGATCAAACCCTTTTTAAGTCCTGCATATGAACTTCTATTCTCTCTGTTTGTCCTATAATGTTTGATGCCATCAGAGTCTACTTTGCTGGGAAGTAGTGAGAAGCAGACATGTGAGAAGCAGACAGATTAATGTGATCACATAATGTGTTCTTGTGATTACTAACTTTTTCCATTTGTTTTCTTTAAAATACCACGCAAACTATTATTGCTTTCACTGAAATCAACGTAATTCATAAAAATTAACATTTGAATTGTTGGTTGTTTTCTTTTGAATAGATTTAGTTACTATATTGCATTGATACTTTAATACTAACACAACACATTTCTGTTTGTTTAACCCAAAATTTTCTCTGCATGAAGCTCAGTGTTACATGAGTGTGGCCAAACTCAATCTCATTAAGGTTTGGCAGCCCATGAGTTTTTGTTTCCTCTGGGCCAGCTGGAAAATGTAAGAATCTTCCTGATACTGGAAAACTATCATTATAGTAATAACAGATTTTGGAAGATAGTAAAGGCCCTCCATTGTTACGGAACTCTACCTGTGTTTTTTTTAATTCTGAAGCTATGCGAGTATTAAAAATCCATGCAATGACAGTCACACAGCTCAGCTGTTGGAAGGCTATTGCTGCAGAATCCCAGCTGCATGAAGCTCCCTTTGTTTGGATTGCAGATGTACCCCCACACAGGAGGCGTTTCACAGGGGCTGCTTTTACGCTGGCTGTATCTTTCAGCCACTTCCTCTTCTTTGGACGGCAATATTGTCTGACATTTTCTTTTTCGAGCTGTCCTAACTTCCCCCTGGCAGCAGTAACAGTCAGTTGCTGTGAAGAAAGTAGCTCTGATGCTCTTTAAGAGAGAAAATTAAGCTGAGTTAGGAAAAGGTAGAAGCATTCAGTAGCTCGGGGAGTCAGAGGACCTCCTGTTGCTCTCTGAAGCTCAAGGAGGGGTGGCTGAGAAGATGTGACAGAAACTGTTCTGAAAGGAAATTAACTTCCTGTATTGAAAATCAGTAAAGTCCCGGAAGGATGGCTTTGACTTGACTGTGGTTCTCCTCTCTTTTGTGTATCTTCATGTGTTTTTTGTTTTTGTGGGGTTGTTTTGGGGCAGTTTTGGTTTTTTTGTTTCTTAAACAATAAAAAGAAAAACTGTTGTTGAAGAAGCGTCATTGTGGCTGGTCAAAAGATTCCAGTCCTGTTCCTCGCAGATTTTTTGTTACTTTTCTAGGCATTTAGCCTATAAATAGCAAACAGCTTTCTCTCAATAAGTTCTTATTCATTATTTTTGCAGCAATTATTTTGCAAGTAT